TCACACACAGGCAGCTCCATTGTATGCATGTGCCCACCCAAGACCATCTCCGATCTATTTCTGATGAAATTTTCCTTGGCCGTCCAATTTGAGTACGTGACCGCCTTGCATAGAGGCTGGTTGACAAGTTGACTTGCTTACGGCCTGTGAGGTTGGTCAATCGTGGCTGAAAGGAGGGCTCCATTTAGGCGAACTCGAGTATGACAAACTGTTGATGTATTGTATACCAGTTGTTGCCATCGAGGTACTGGAACAGATCGATGCCAACGAGGAATAGGAGGTTTCGGGGACCTGGGGAGGTTTGAACCTCCGTGAAACCTCCACAGACTATTTGTAGATGCCAGGCGCCCATCAAAGACAGCATACGGGTCGTCAGCCTCAACCACACATAATACTGCGCACTGGAACGAGAGGCCAAGGTCCTTTCGAGCTTACGGTCAGCATATCCTCGATTGTGAATGGCTCGACCGCACTGATTACATACCGCAAAGCTGGGCGTAGGCAAAGCCAACATGCAACGCACATCGGCTAACTCGCTCAGTCTGGGGCTGCTCGTCAATGTTCCGAATACCTGCCCCGTACCTAGTACAACTTCCTAGGTACCTACTCCGTAGATTAGTTAGACGTTGAAATGATTCGACAGCACTTTCGGTATCGAGGACACGCGGTGAAGCTAAGTCGCCTACATATCTAAGTCTTGAGGTTAGCAACCAAGTCCATAGGATCGAAGTTTTGTAGGCTGGGAAGGCGCGGCCAAGCACCTGCTCCCGTTGTGAATTGTGAACCACCTACCAGACTTTTCAGCTTTTCTTAGCAACTCCCAGAGTTCAACACATAGAATTATTTCCAATGGCAATTTGCCGGATTTTCTGTCCGTTCACCAGCATTACCAGCTTCCTTTTCGGATCGCGGGCTAGCCAGACTGTGGGATACGTCCCCTGGTCAGGTTGCAAAATGAACATGCCTATCCTGATTGTTGACAACAATTGCAAACTATCCAAGATGCTCCTTTTGCCCTCTATCGATGTAATATGCATGTGTCAGCTACATCTGGACAAGGGGTCAAGCGGCAACCAACAGATTCTCTGACGGGACTGCCAGCCATCCCGGTTTGCCACCTCGTCGTTCAGACCCGGTGCTGGCACCGCTGATGCCAGGATGTCAACGGAGTAGGTCAGATTAGTCCGCCCGGAGCCCCCACGTCGGAAGCATGATCGAGCCTGGTTGAGCCGCGAGGAGGATTCAGCGCTGGCCCTTTGCCCAGGGAGCGAGTTGCTGCAACTGAATCCGCCGAAAGCAGACAACAGGTGAAAGCTGACGATGAACAGGCTGCAACGGTTATTGCCGCCCGGGAAAATATCCTTGCAAAGGATACAAACAGCTGTCAGCACGTCTGCTCTGATAGAATAAAACAAACGGAACAAAACGACGCGTAGGATCTCCTGTTGATTCGCCATTAATTTGGAATTAATTTGGACAGAATCTACTCCGTACCGTTCGCTGGCTTCCGGCTAACTTGACTTGAAGCTGGGGATCCTCCTTGCATCTTCGCAGTGGACCTGGATGGTGGTGGTACCGGAGACAGACCAAAACGGAAGCTCCATGCAGCGCTCTACAACGAATATGTGACGCTAAAAAGTGTCCCCAAACGTTACGCATCCAGCAGGATACAGGGCAGATACGATTTAATCGCCATACATCCTCCGCCGCTTGGTCGATAGGTGTTAAATGCTGCTTGCTGATTCCTAGCTGATCCTGGTGGTGGCGACATCTAGGGTGCTCAATTTGATTGCAGATGACTGGCATACAATACAGTGTTATGTTGGTATTGAATGTGTACTTCTAACTCATCCTATCTGTTGTTACCTTGGCTCTACCGTGGCAAATATCCCTTTGCCTAACTTGTGGCCGCACACTGTCTCTCTTATTACTCAATACGATTAACAACGGTGGGTGAAGACATACAGCCAGAGGGCCAAGATACCGGAGCATCTTTACGACATGTGCATAACACCGACATCGTGCTGGCATGCTCAGTTAGGCTGGAAAGCACATGCGCACCATGGATCTCTTGCTACCATCAAGGATCTCGTTGACGTGATCGACATAGCACTTTATCTGTCCGCCACGGTTTCCCTTCCAGAAACCTTCGACCCCTGGCTAAACAAGATGTGGAAGGAGCTTCAGCGGGCAAACAACCTTGTCTCGGTCGGTTAAAGCCCTGGCATGTGACCGTTGATACAATTGCTCTCGTCTGCTAACAACATATCATGGTTTTTTCTGCGGGTGCACTGCCAGTATCATGCGCTAGCATTCCCCCTTCCTTCCCCAAAGCTCTTTCATGGCCCGCTGAAATACTTGATTCGTACGCCATGAGCAGGCCAATCTGTGAATAAATGGAAAAATCGCTAAAGCCCAACCAAGCTCACGCCAAGGAGGTTTGACCAAGCAATTCGCCGACGCCGCGTCTGGCGAGAAAAACGATAGGGGTTGTGATGATCCACGTGGATCACTACAAAAGCTGCAGCCCTGTCAGCGCTGCCCTCCAAAATCTCCTGTCGTTTGACTCCAGGCAGCAAATATTGCAAGCTCGCGAAAGGCCAAAGAGCTGTCGAGGAGCTCGCCAGGTTCTTGAGTAAGCTTCTTGAGGCAGCGTTAGACGGTACTGGGCCTGCATCCTGATTGATATATTCTACAGCGGGGCGTGAGGCGTCGACCACAAAACTCAATGCCTAGAATTTTCTATGGAGAGAAGAAGCTGTCAGCTTGAGTCTGGTACAGTTCGTATCCCTTTCCCTTCTAAATCAATGACACTCGAACTCCGGGCGGCCTATTCCGTGCACAGAACCGCGCTGCGCAGGATGAGCCACAAGCCAAGGGGGGCTTGCCTTTCAACGTCTGGTACGGAGTAACTAGATGATATTACAATGATAGGTGAGCTGTTGGAGGAGCTCATTTGGTCAAAGACAATTTGCGATCCTGCAACTTGGCCCACACACACATCCACTTCTAACCACTTCCAGTAGTTATCCACTCCAGCGATTCTGAGCAGCTCATCCCTGGCTTTTGATGTGGAACCGCCAGGAACATGCAACCTCGAGAAGAGCAGGTCGTCGAATGGAATCCAGTCACGGCTTGATGGTTTGATGGGCGTTTGACAGCCATTGGCGCTAAAGGTACCGACGACGGCCATCCTTCGATTTCCTCCAGGCCAGTGCTGTCATCCCATGTCGTCTTGCTTTGCCGAGAACCACTTTCAGCGAAATAGATCGCGCACTGACGTTGGGCTGGCGCCAGCTTGTCTATCCTGCCGATTGGAAAGCAGAATCGTCCCACTGACCCTTTTTTTTTCTCCTTCGCACTAGGTTTCTCATCTTGCAGACAGGTAAATGAAGATCAAGCATATGTCATCTGACACTTTGATGCGTCGCTTGGGGAGATTATTTACCGTTATGACATGATACTACTAATCAAGTAGTATGTATTTCGGGTTTATTCGAGAGTGTGATTGATTTAAAAAAGGCTCAAAAATTCCAGCCAGCCGCCACCTTTTGCGTTACCTGGAGCTGTCTTTGTGTAACGTGATCAGTTCCAATCGGCAAGGTTTCGTCCAAGGACCGGACCACCCTGGTTGTGAGAAACAACTGGTACGTAGTTACAGCAAAAACCTGACATTCTAATTATGGGCCAAAACCATTCACAATCGGAGCACAGGGCAATGCTGCGTGAAAACAGTGTCTCAACAATCAGGTTGATTTCGAGGAGTCCGTATTCTTCTGCGGAAAAGCACGTAGCACCACCCCCAGCACGTGTCCCTTTTAGTGCGGTAAGGTGCAGGTAAAGTCTTTTACGGGGATAATGTCCAATGGGGATCAAGAAATAAGCAGGTACATGCGTGCCCACTTATTTATCATTATAATAAAAGTAAATATTAATAGTACTTGGTACATTAATTAGTAGCGTTTTTGGCCAAGATACAGGTAGAAATACTTAACAAGGGCGTCTGGGGCAGATACAAAAGCTGCACCTTACGCACTCAAAGGGATGTATGTCTTGTCTCACGGCAGTTACCCTCCAGCATCCGGCTGCGACCATTCTTAGATCTCTCTGCCAGAAAACAGAATCTTGTACGGAATAGCATTGTGGTACTCTGTACTCGGTACTTTCAGAAGACGTCAAGAAGTCTATGGTTGCCGGTTTGTTTCTTGAATTGTTTTGGCTTCGTCCCTCGCTTTCTTTCAACGCAAAATCAGCGAACAATAGATTAACTTGCTTTCAAAGTTTGCCGACAACACCCCTCGCCTTTCTCCCAAGGCCAATTGAGATGAAAGGACCACGCCTGGTTGGGTTGCATCCGATGTCTCACCTTGGGCGCCAGACAAGGTGGGCGAGACAGCCGGCGGCCAGATGTTGTTGAATGGCTGAACTTTTGGCACACACAATTGGGCATGGATATTCCACGCACACAATTGCGCTCCATTTTCGTCCTCCATTCCGAGCCATATTCGACACCAGCTTGGGCGGCTGAGCCTGCAGCAGGCAAGTAGCTCTGCCTGTCCCTTGCTCAACCTCGACTTTATTGGCACTGTGAAATTCCAAAGCCGTGCATGTGTCAACAATCATGGATAGCAGGCCACTTTGCTGAACCGAATTAGTGCCCACTCCGCGTGTGCCCTTTAATCGTTCCATAACGTCGTTGATCTAGTCGCTCGAGGACAGCCTTGGCCAACATGCTCTGTTGAAACCGGCGTTTTTACCTCTATTTATTATTCTTGTTGAATGTGTTCTCTTTAAACTCTTTTTTTCGTTTCTGTTTGCATACTTTATTAATTTTTCTTTGCCCACTCTTTGAACCATTCTAGCGCTTCGGGATTAGCAACGCTCGCATTCGTTTTGATATCCAGGCCAGACAGAATTTGCTTGACGGCAACTTCAATCCTTTCGTCAATGTTAGCACCCACAAAAAACTAGATTGTAGCGGTACACGCAAAATTGCCAACTTACTTCTTGCCGTTGCCAGTCTTGGGAATTCCGGCACCACACTCCTCCACTACCGCTGGAACATGCCGAGGACTGAGCTCAGACCGGATCTTGGCCATGATTTGAGTTTTCAGGTCTTCGCTGAAAGCCTTGCCAGGAACCATGACAACAAAAAGGCACACCGTCTCGTCCCTGTCCGTTTCCCTTCTGCGGCCAACACAAACGGCATCTTCAACATGTGCGGCGAAGAATCGAGTGAGGATGTTGTAGATTTCTGCAGAACCGAACCGAACGCCGGCAGGCTTCAAAACACCATCGGATCGGCCCAGCATGACCAGACTTCCGGTAGCCGGATCGGGAATCTTGACAAAATCTCCATGGTGCCAGACGGGGCCTTTGACGCCGCAGACATTTTCAAACCGCTCAAAGTAGGCCGACTTGTACTTGGTCTGGCCATTGGCACCGAAGAAGGTCAACGGTTGGCAGGGAAATGGTTTCACACAGACCAAATCGCCCTGCTCTCCCGGTGGCATGTCCTCTCCTGAAATGGAGTCCACCACACGAATGTCCATTCCCAGACCAGCACATTGAATCTGACCAACTCTGACTGGCAGCAGAGGACATGGGGCGCCAAAGAGGGAAATAATATCAGTGCCACCAGTAATGGAGGCCAGATTGACCGTCTTCGGGAATGCCTCGTACACGAATCTAAAGGTGGACGGGGGTAGAGGTGACGCAGTAGAATAGATTGCCTCCAAGCATGACAAGTCAAGGCTTGTGTCTTCAACGGGGCGAACGTTGTTGGCCTCCAACGCTGTGAGATACGCAGCAGACGTACCAAAATGGGTCACTCTGAGCTGAGAGAGGAGGTTGGGGAGCGACATGTGCGAGCTCGGGCGGAAGGGGGATCCAGAGTAGAGCACCAGAGTAGTGCCAACTGCCAGGGCACCGACACTCCAGTGCCACATCATCCATGAAGTTGTGGTGTAGTACAGCATGCGCGAGGCGGCAGTCATGGAGCAGTGTAGCATGTGCTCCTTCTTATGCTGAAGGAGAGTACCTAGCGCAGTGTGAACAATAGCCTTGGGCAGCCCAGTGGTTCCACTAGAGTACAGAACGTAGAGGGGATGCGAGGGCGGCAATTGCTCAAACTTGATGGGGTCTGCGGGCGCGTCTCTGAGGAAGGACTTGTAATCGAGGGCCTTGACGCCCTGGGACTGGACATGTTCGATGCCGAGATGGGCGCTGATATTGTCAATAACGACGACCAGATCTAGACCAACGCCCTTTAGTGCCGCGGCAATCTCGCTCGTCTTGGAGGTACTTGGCCACTCCTTGCCATTGTAGACGGTGCCGTTGTCGGCAAACAAGACCTTTGGGCGGATCTGGGCAAGACGATCTAGTACGGCGGAGACGCCATTATCCGGGCTGATGCCAGTCCAGATGGCACCGATGGATGCAGCGGCCAACATGGCGACGACAGCCTCCACGTGGTTGGACACGTAGCCGGCAACAACATCTCCAGATTTTAGGCCGGCGCCGCGCAGGGCATTGGAGCATTGCCGCACAGATTCACGCAGCTGGCGCCACGTGGTTGGCTTGATGTCTCCCGGCAGCTCTGTGGCGGTGATGACGGCAACACTGTCCGGGTCGATGGGCGAAGTCGGGCAGAAGAGGAGGTTCTCGGCAAAGTTGAGGCGAGCGGATGCGAAGAAGTCGGGGCGAGGGTACATGGGCGCATTCTCGGGCAGAGCCTTGGACGAGGCGGTTAGAAGCAACAAAGAGCAAAGAGGACTGCCTGATGATGGCCATGGCGAAGAAAAAACCAACCTACCTTGTCGGCCTTTATGGAAGCCACGATGCCAACAAAGTCCCAGACCTCTTCCCAAAAGGCAGACACGTTGTCGACTGACCATTGGTACAGTCCGGGGTACCCATCGATACTCAATGCATGCTTCTTGTTCACCTGCTGGATGAACTGCCACATTGGCGTATGGCCAGGAGCATCGTGTCTCCAAAGTTCATCGGAAGCATTGCGACTGTCGACGTATTCGCCCATTGTGAAACGACGCGGGACGTGGGCACGCGGACTGTGAGTGAGCTCTGTTGCGAAGAGAACCGGTGATCAATGTCCGAGTTGGAACCTTGGGACGAGAATGAATGAATGTAGTAGTAGTGAGTGTGGGCGGGGGAGGGGCAGCTGCAAGCAAGGGCGTCGAACACGAGCTTTTGTTGATGTCGATGAGTACCGTCTTGTTCCGTTTCGGGAAGAAGACGAATCGGTAGGGAAGGGGGAGAAAAAAACAAGCACGGCTATACTATCTGGACATGGTGGCTGTCGCAAAGAAAATGTTGGGGAGAATGCGTCACTGCATGAGTCGGCCGTTCGGCTTAAGGACCGGAGAGGGTCGTTGAATTGGCCGAGACTTTGGGGACCCTTTAGCCGTGGCCCGGCGCAACCCGCAAGCACGGGTGGGCCACGGACGGTTCCGGTGCGAACAAGTCGGCATTCTAGGGCTGGGTGTGCGACGGTAAACTTGTAAATTATCATCATCGTCGTTTTAAGAGCCGATGGCTAGCAGACTATCCGGAGCGAAAATTCAATGTGCCTACTTCCGTTCGGTGAAACGGTTACACCTGGATATACCTGATTCAAGGGTGACGGCCCGAGGCACCACCACCTCAACACTATACTACAGCTCATCATTTAGAGCAACCACTGCAGGCTATGATTTCAGACTGGGCGTAGGTTTCTCAAGGGTCATACCACTCAAGACGATTACAGGAGGCAACCACTAGTTTGGGATTTGTTTGACCATACCTACGTCCCCGGGGAATAATGAATATTGCCTACTCACGAAATCTCCTCAGGGTAGCTGAAGGACGAGATCAACACTAGCCAAGCTTGGAGGCGCCCCCCTGCAAAGATGATGGTGATGGATGGAAGGTGTAGTCGTTTATTCCAGGCAATATTCATCATTACACTGCTGCCTATAACAATTATGAAGTCTTTACATGATCCCACTCTGTTATATAGGAGATACATACGGCCTAGTACGTACACACATGTACAATTCAGACCCTGATTGTTTGGCCGGGGGGTTAAAGCCAAAAAAAGGTAACTATTATAGAGAGCGTGTGGGAGTTAAAAGTACCTAATAACGCGACAAGATCTCTTATTAAAAAAGGTCACTATTATAAGAGCCATTAGTCCCTTATTACTCCGTATTTTACCTACCAGACAGTTAACAACTTATAATATGAAAATAGGGGGTTATTATTAGTGTATAGCCCCCACTAACTTCCTTGTCAGGTCACTCATGGCTAGACTTACAGGGGTCAACGGTTGGATTGTACTCGGTGCAACGTCCACCCTGGCCCTGGTCCAGGGCGGAAAGGACCAGACATGAAAAAAGTTGCTGACTTTGTGCCGAGCCGATTGGACGCGGGTTGATGTGAAATTACCTGCGGATCCAAGGGGCCCAAGTCCTGAACAGGAGGGACGTACGTACGAGGTGCTTCAGTATGTTGTACAGAGAGTGTACTTGGTCCAGAGACGTTGGACGTGGCTCATGGTCAGCTCCAAGCTCTTCGTTGCCTTCGTTGCTTCGCGCTTGGTATATGATGCGCGTGCCGCCAGTGCTCGGCCAAGATGGCGGGATTAAGCAATTCTGAGGACATGTGGAGGAATTGAATTACTACCGCCAACGTTGAACATTGAAGGCGATTTTGTTTCCAGACTCGAAAAGTCAGTTGAGGGCCATGATTTTGCCCCACTCAGCACCCACTGTAAACTCGAGAAGCTGCCAGACCAGCTCTAGGTACCTAAGTACTTAGTAGGTAGGTAGTCCGGTAGTATCTATTACCTAGAGGTCTGGTGCTCGGTAACCAGCACCAGCTGTCAGGACCCGAGACTGGACGCTCCCGGCCAAGAGCGGCGCCACCAGCTACCGGGCGCCACCAAACCACATGCAGACGAACTGGCGGCTGGTCCGGATCATCCAAGTCGACATTGAATTAATTGCCCATGGGCACAGCGTCAATATCATGCTACCTACAACCTCCACAGCGTCCGCCCCTGACGCAATCTCATATTGACCGGGTATTCATCCATGCCTTAAGCAAGTCGTACCGAATTTTACATTCGTTCACCTTGCGGTGCCTCGTTGCTGCAGGCTGCTTGGCTGCCGTCGTGTCGACGCGTGGTTTGGTGCCCAGGGTTCAACATTGAACATCAAAGAGCTAGAGCTGTCAACTGGCTGGTGCGACTGGTGCTACTGCTACTGGTACTACTATGATGTACTATTATTGTTATTATTATTATTATTATTATTCCGTCTCGACCAGTTGACGTCTCACGTCGCAAGTGCTGGCAAACCAGACCTGTTGACAGCTCTGTCGGTCGGTGGCCTCTGCGGCGCGCCAAGAAGCAACGCCTTGCCCCAATCGCCTGACCCCAAGTCGAGAGCCCAGTTCGTGCCGCCTCCACCAGAACCACTCAATAGGAACTTGACATGTCTGACCTCCTCACACCTCCTCAGCCCTCTTTCAACCGCCTATCCGGATACAACGCGTGCTCAGGTGTGCAGCTGTGCTCAAGCCCCTGGGTTTTGTTCATCTTTTCAACTTCAGAATCCTCCCCGTCTTGTCCATACACACATAGTGAGTACCACTGCTGCGTCCGTCTTTCCTGGACCAGCGCTTCCCTTTATGATTGGGAGCGGCGTCAAATGCCCTAGTTTTTTCATGATCCGCACATCCCTGGCCCCTATCTTCTGAATTCGGCCTCTCTCACGACCGCCATCTTTTCTCCCGGCCAAGTCGACCTCAGCAGACACATGGCCAATTGTGCACTCGTGCGATTGTATGTTTGTTTTGATCCGCGGTTCGTGTTGAGCATGGTTCCTGATTCTTGTCCCATCTCGCTCCATCGCCTTTGACCGGAAGAGCTATCGACTCTCGCCTGCGCTGCCTCGTCTTTGCCCTTCCACTTGCTCTCAATGGACCGCTGACCATCTCTTTCCTCAGAACGAAGCTAATTCCCGGTGACTCGATCCAAAGCCGCCCAAGCACCCCCTCCCGGCACGTCCGTCTCGACGCCGTTATTGTTGACGCAATCTCCTCGTCCAAGGTCTGAAAGCACTGGCAACGAGACATGCCCCGCAAACTGGCAAACCCTTTCTCGACCTCCTCCGCCATGTCATCTTCTGAAAAGACGGGCGAAAGACGTCCCTCGACCTCTAAAGGAAATCGCATCAGCCAATTCTTTTCCTCAAGTCCCAAGTCCAAAGACCACACCGCTGCCCAGCAGGCGCTGCTCGCCATGCAGCAGCAGCAGCAGCAGCAGCAGCAACCCGCTGCGACACAGCAACAGCAGACTCAAGCCAACGGTGTGCCCGCTGGCATCTCGCCTCCATCCACCTCTCTACCTATAATATCATTGTCTACCGCCGTTGCGGGCGATCACAGCAGCTCTGAACCACCAACCACAACCCTGTTCCGCCCCAAGTCGGCCGAGGAGATGGAGAGAAAGCGACGTGCTGAAGCTCAGTTTGGTCCTCTCTGTCACCCAAGTCACCTCTATGTCAGCAAGTCGCACGGCATGCCCCTGGAGCCGCCCATCGAGGACGAGCCTCCATATTACTTCCTGCTTACTACCTACATTAGCTATCTGCTGCTCATTCTTGTGGGCCATATTTGCGACTTCTTTGGCAAGAGATTTGGCGACAAAAAGCACTACGACTCCCTCAAAGTTCAAAATGGCTTTGCTCCGCTTAACGATGACTTCGACAGTTTTTATACCAGACGATTAAAGATGCGACTAGATGATTGCTTTGCCCGACCAACCATTGGCGTTCCCGGAAGATTCATTACTCTCATGGACCGTAAATCCAACGACAACAACCGCTCCTATCAGTACACTGGCACCTACACCGAGACCCTCAACATGAGCTCCTACAACTACCTAGGATTTGCCCAATCCGAAGGACCTTGCGCTGATGCCGTCGAGGAGTGCGTCAGGCGTTATGGTGTCACCTCGGCCAGTCCGCGTGGCGATGCCGGCACCACTGATTTGGCTCTCGAGGTTGAGCGAGAAGTTGCCTCTTTTGTTGGCAAGCCCGATGCCATGGTCTTTTCCATGGGCTATGTGACCAACGCCAGTTCCTTCCCAGCTTTAGCCTCGAAAGGTTGTCTCATTATCTCTGATGAATTAAACCATGCCTCTATCCGCATTGGAGCCCGTCTTTCTAATGCTGTCATTCAGTCCTTCAAACACAATGACATCTATGATCTGGAAAGGGTTCTACGAGAAAACATCTCGCAGGGCCAGCCGCGTACCCACCGGCCATGGAAGAAGATCTTGGTTGTCGTCGAAGGCCTATACTCGATGGAAGGCACAATGTGTGACCTGCCAGGTATTCTCGCTTTGAAGAAGAAGTACAAGTTTTATCTCTTTGTCGACGAGGCTCACTCTATCGGTGCTCTGGGACCCCGTGGTCGTGGCGTCTGTGACTACTTCGGCATTGATCCTTCCGAGGTAGATATCCTGATGGGCACCTTGACAAAATCCTTCGGTGCAAACGGTGGCTACATTGCAGCTGAGAAGCACATCATCGACAAGCTGAGAAGCACAAATGCCTCGACTCAATACGGTGAATCACCCGCTCCATGCGTCTTGATGCAAATTTTGGCCTCCTTGAAGCTCATCACGGGTGAATTGTGCCCGGGCCAGGGCGAAGAACGCCTGCAACGCATCGCCTTCAACTCCCGTTACCTCCGTCTCGGCCTCAAGCGTCTCGGCTATATTGTCTATGGTCATGATGATTCACCAATCATCCCCGTCATGCTGTACAATCCTGGAAAGATGCCTGCCTATAGCCGTGAAATGCTCAAGCGCAAGATTTCCGTCGTCGTTGTCGGGTACCCTGCGACCCCCCTTATCAGCTCCCGCGCCCGTTTCTGCGTATCCGCAGCCCACAACAAGGACGATTTGGACAGACTTCTGGCCGCGTGCGACGAAGTTGCGGATATCATCCAGCTGAAGTTCTCTACTGGTGTTGCCGGCGGTCTGGAACCTCTTCCCGCGGGCGTTGACGTTGCCCCTAACGAAGAGAAGGAATGGAGACGGGCCAATGGCATTCCCCTGACTCCTCCCAGGTGGAGTATGGAAGATATTATCCGTTATGGTGTCCGTGATGCCAAGCGGCCCTTGCGGTAGACTACGGCGAGCACTAGGCAGAGAAGAAACCCATGGTACAGTAATTTGGAATGATCGAGTCGACATATTTGGGGCGTTGTTTCTATGCGTGATTCACGGGTCGGGCACTCTGAGTGCGGTTTTTTTTTTTTTTTTTTTTTTTTTTTTTTGTTTCGTCTTTTTCTTCTTCTTCTCGGGCTCCCATCTGGAATTGACCAACCGCGACTGCAACAGTCTGCAGATGTTGGTGAAAAGCTCTCTTTTTTTGTTCTATCCTGCGCTGTGTCATCCTGTGACCTTGTCTGGTGCCGGGTGATTTATAGCCTGCGCTGATTTCACTGCAGCATTTTCACATATATATCTTTTATTGCACCTACGGCGAAATGGCTTGTACGATTAGTCACAGGCCGACAGCAATAATATCATCACTTTTCGGAGGAGGCGTGGAGTGGAAGGGTGGTTGGAGAGGAGCAAAGGGCTTGAGACTTTGATGTGGGTGAACAAGGTGACACGAGAGAAAGTAGACGATTCCTGAAGACATGGATTGTATATATAGATACTGGTTTATAACCTAGGAAGCCCGGTTACCACAACTCCAAGCCGGCACCAGAGAGGACTGACTAATGAAGTGGCCAAAGGCAAAATGAGTTGCTCTTGTGGACTGATATGTGCACTTTGTGAATCGAGATCAAATCTCGTTGGAGACCGATTCTGTCGTAGCCGTACGTCATGACGTTGCCCCGAGACAGGGCAACAGCAAAACGGACAGAGTGACGCAAAGCGCAAGGAGACGGGAGAGATTGTCGAGGCACGCACAAGCTACGGGATCTGGCAATGAGTACACTCCCGTCTGAACCAATGTGGCCTTGAATATTCCAACATCATGCTATGAAACGGCGCGTGATGTTTGGATGTTTCTGTGACTGAGCATGGCCTCCCTCCCGAGGTTAGACAAGAGAGCTAATGGACGTCATGAACCCAACGGGGAAGCAACCGTGTGTCTAAGATAACGAGCGCCGTGAAGCTACTCGCCGTCTGTTGGGCGGCTAGATAGCGGCTGAATCTGAGACGCTGGATGGTCAAACAAGTCTACACACAAAACGGCCGCCATGTGACGTAGAATTGCGAGATGGGTGCTCGCTTGCACTCGGCAGTGGCACCTCGATCTGGGGAGTTTGGGGGCATGTTTTAGACTGCTTGCCACGGAAGAAGAGGCGGCGTCTTTACATGTCGTAGGCGGAGGTTTCTGCAGGGTACATGCATTCATGGTGCTGCCGCTGGCGATAGTTCCATGTTGGCATGTCGTAGCAGGCAATAAAACTGCGTTTTTTGGCAAGACTAGATGATGAAAGATGGTTACGTGCCCACGCTACGGATCTGCTATGCTGTACAAAGCACCGGGTTGCTCTCCCGGGCGGCGTGAATCCTGAATTGCCAGAGTTGAGAAAAAGGTCAAGGTAGGTGAGGTGCCGTGTTTCACCGTGCTCTGCAAGTCGGCTATCTCGACGAAATTCGGAGAATAAAACACTCCATCGAGCACTGTGGAGGGGCGGCGTTTTCTGCGCGTCCCCCCCAAAAGGACAATAGAGGAATGTGGTTTGAGTAAAAAAGATGAACTGCTGATGGGCGTTTGAGAGCGGATAGAGACGAGCAAGGTCATGACACCAGAGGACCTGAAACGCAGACACGGAGAGTGCGGGCAGAATCGTCGAGATGCGCGAGTGTAAATGGACGGGCTGTTTCATGCAGCACCTTGTCGCCATTCCCCCTTCCGCCCCTGCATCGGCCGGGGATTGATTGGGAGCGGGTGTATTGAAGCCAAGAGTTGGCCAAGATTGGCGAGAAAGATCGAAGATGAATGGGGGAAACGGGGAAGTAACTCTTTTTTTTTTCTTTTTGGGTTCATGGGCGGGCGTGATTCTGAGGGCTGAATAGCTTACTTAGAGATGGGGTTCAACGGACTGGTTCCTTTTTTCTTCTTCTCTGCCCTTCTTTCAAGCTGCGGACATTAGAAGGGTTGGTGGTTTTTAAGAAACAGCAACCCCCGCAGAGTGAATTGCTCGCGAGTAACTCACCCCACAGACAATGGACGCCCGTTTAATCAGTCCGAATCAGGGAGCTCGTGGCGCATGGAGGATGGACGAATCTGTAACGGGTTTGCTTGCTCATAGTTGCGGATTCTATGACGCACAGTACAGCCTGGATGCACATCCCCCCAGACATAAACGTACTTGTCAAAGGCCCGTAGCTGCAGGGCATTGAGTTGCTCCGTAATTTATGTAGGAGACCTGAGGATGAGAACGAGTTTGACGCAGGTATCAAGAGTCTGGTTGAACCGGACCAAGAAACGGGGCAGTGCCTCTCAGTTGTGGATGAGAGGAGAGCACCATGGCTTGCTTTGCTTTACCAACATAGGGACTCAAGGCATTGACTGCGTGTTGACGGCTTTCGTTTATACATGCATACCACGAATTGGAGGAGCTTGCAGACCAAGGAACTGAGAGCAATAGACCTACACGCCAAGCATGCGTTGCCGTCTTCAGCACACGCCTTGTCACGATATTTTCATCCCAGAAACATATCACGGGTCCCATGTGCGTTTCTCATTTCAAACTGGCAACTGGGCTACCATAATCCAGAAATTGGATCCTGGAAACACACTGCGTGCAGGTGTTGAAACTACCTATGGCCTGTCATGTAGCAGATGTAGGGCAGCAGAGTTCTGTACCGGCCAAATGTTGGCTAAAACACTTGGTTTGAAGGCGTATTTCTCTTTGCTTCGGCCTGCTTGCCCACGTACAGAGCTGTCTCTTCGTGACTTCAAACAAAGAGGCACAAGGCGAATCCACCAGACTCCAGAATGGCCGAGGAGCCAGGAACATGGGGAAAAAAGCCTCTTGTCTGACCCTGGGACGGTTGGGGTTGGCGCGGAGGCAACATTGAAGGCGGCGGTGGAAGCCGGCACTTGGTCAAACGTCTAGCTTCGTACAGCTTGGCTGACGTTATCCAAGGAATCACTTGGGTACTTAGCATTCTTACTCAACCGGGAAATACTGCAGAGCGTCAGTGATTCTGCTTCGTCTGGTTGTTGCGGGAAAACCTGTCCGAGAGCGTCAAACCATTTCCATCGGCATCGGGTACCAGCTCCTGTTCTCTTCAGCATCCGAGTAGCTCAAAGGACTCAAAGGGTCCAAAGGGCACTGGCCATGATGCACATTTGTGCAGATGCACAGAGTACCCGGTACATGGTGCCGATGCAACTTTGCACATCAAGTCATGCATGTAGATGTCGGTGGTCGATGCTGACATGGAGCACGTTGACCCAAACGAACCTGCGAGGTGCCAAGAAAGCACCCGCCCTCTGCCTGGCCCCGACCCTCCTGCCCAATGCCCGCCCCCCACCCGCGCGACCTCCACCTGAGCTGTCTTTTGTTGCATGTATTGACCCTTGAGCGGCGAGGCCTGACAAGCTCGATACTTGCGTCGTGAATTTTGCACCGAGTCCTTGTCCAAAAAAATTACATATCCCATCTGCATTCAGACGCCTCAACTGCCAGAGCGGAAGGCTGCCGCGGATAATGACGCAGGCCTGCGAGGACTCATTGCGAGACCACAAGAGGCGCCTGGCCCCCCCCGGCCGCCTCGAGAAGCTCTCCACTGCCCGCTGCCCTCTGCCCCTACCCGCCGATGTCTGGCCAGGTACTCGAGTGCGCAGCCCAATAATACCACCGGTTGACATCAACCACTGGTACCACCACCACCACCACCGCTACCAGAACCGCACTCCTTGGCCCGCCCCGTTCGCCCGCTGTTCTCCCTCCCCCTTTGTCATCTTCAAGCGCCTTTGCTCCACCTCAGCCTGACCACCAGCCAGCCGACTACAGCCAACAATCGCCTTGTCCTCCCGAAGCCACGACGGTTCATCAGCAAGACTCAAAACAAACCCCCCCCCCCCCCCCCCCCCCCCCCCACCCC